TGTGTGTGTGTGGGGGGGGGGAACACAAAAACATACAAATGCAAAAAGTTTAGCACATTTCCCCCAATTTCTGTAAATGAGCCGAGTACCTGAAGCCCCAAGTACAAATTCACTGTCAATTTGAAGCTAAAATGGATAAAATTATTTTGTCCAATTAACAATTCCTTGCAAATAGAGGAAAATAAATAAATAAAATCACTCAGAAGCATCAGTTTTTCTTGTGTGATGTAATGCAACTTCAAGAGCTGGTCCATTGCATTGAACATCACTTTGACTTTTGTATTATACATTTGCAAACAACAGTCCTACTATTTGAATATACTGCCTTCAGTCATAACACCAAACTCCCCAAAATTTCAGCAATTTCTGGATTAAATCCAGCCTCATTTTGGCACACTGGGCCCACAAACCCAGTCTCCCATTCATTAGATACACTGACAGACATCTCAGGCTCTCCTTGCTGCTAACAACAAGTGAGAAAAGCGTTGCTGCCTTCCCTCAACCAACTGGATCACTGGAAAGACATTTAAAAGGATCCGCTATAAACTATCTACACCCATTCAGAGTGGGATTGATTTAAAACAGCCCAGACAGATTTTAGACAGATGTTAGCAGCAAGCAGCAGCTCCATGCAACATCTCACAGGAAAACTGACCAACTTTTTGTTTACAAAATGTCTCCCCCTACCTCCGTACAAGTGGGTAAATCTGTGCCCTGCGGGGAAAGGCTTTCTACTATTTTGTATATTCTGTTAAAAATAAACAACGGGGTCGCCAGAGTAAAGTTCAGAGGCTCGGTAGTGAACCACACTTCACAACACACTCACACCGAGGTATGAATTTGAATCTGACCGTTAGTAACGCCAGTCCACCTCACATCAAACATCAACTTCAAACGGATAACGTCATACTCAACAAAGGGGGAAAACCACACACACACACATTAAAAAACACCGCTCCAATGAGACAAAATGTGACGTTTAAAAAACACGGAGATAAAAAAAACAAAAAACGGTAGAAAACCGAGGAGCTACTCGGTAAATTAGCCATCTGGAGCGCACAAAGGAGGCAGGCAGCAAAGCACAGCCTCCCGCATGTCACTCCGCCAGATGGACACCATGCCTGCCTCCAGAGATAACTAGCTGGCTAGCTGTCCCTCCAAATTTAAACACAAACACACGCTGCATTTGCTCGCAACAAAAAGCCCGCATACCAGGCAAAACCAGCAGCGAAAGACACGGCGGGCTCGCAGACAGTCACTTTGTGTGTTTTAAACGTGTCTGGCGGTGATAAAACACGACTCACCTCGTTTGAATGCTTTCATTCTTTGTTGATGGCTCGCTTGGAAACACGCAGCTGTCCAAGTTGCTCGCTGTACAAAGCGTGCCCGGGAGCCAAGCGATGGTTGACACAACGGCACTTTCTTCCAAGAAGCTGAAGGTGTTGCGCTTTTTCGCCGACTTAAATACCTCGCTTTAGGGGTTCCGCCGTACAATAAGGTTTCGCTGGACAGTCCGTTTCCATCGCACTCCTCCTCGCTTTCTGCCAGGATAAATGTTTTCTGTTTTGTGTCGCTTGTTCCTTTTTACCTGCACACAGCAGCGCCAGCTCTTTGCCAATCTTGACAGTCGCAGCTGAAATGATCCCGCCTCATCAACGGCTGTCAGCCAATCAGGAGCCTCCATTCCGCCTCCTGGGTGGTCATTATCCAATCACGGCGCTCCGCTCGACAGCAGACAGGCTCTGTGTCACTGTGACTGACGGGACAACCAGTTCATTCAAAATATATCGCAGTCACTGAAATAATGTTATTTTCTCGACACGGTTGAAACCACACGGTTACACAGACACATGCAGTGCACATATAGTAACATAGTCGTCTTTTTTAAACCATTCTGGCCCATTTTAATTCCTGGGTGCGAGAGAGGCAGCTACATGGTGTGGGAAGGCTTTACGTAACGCTGAGCAAAATGTTCTTGTTACATAAATCATAAACGTAGAAAGTGTCCACTGGTGACAGCAGGAGCCCCGTTAATAACACAATTAACCAGGTTATCTCGACTCACACTGTTTAGAGCCATTTCTGATGTGATATTTAGACATTAATCCCACAGTTTGTGTGACTCCGGGCTACAGATGTGTTGGGAGTAAGGCCTACTTTAATAACTCAGGTCAAACGAGCGGGATTTTATTTAACTGCAAGATAGCGCCATACAGAACTGCTATCTACCCGTTGTAACCATTTAAATGTAGACCTTAATAAACGTTGTGTGTCCAAATACATCTTCAACAGATGTGCATGATAGTCTTTGAAAGAAAAATTACAACCACAAACTGAATCATCTTATCTTTAAAGTCAGCAAACAGCTACAAAACAGTGAAATACAGTCACGAACTTTTTGAGAAAGTATTGTGTGCATTTTATTGAATGTTACGTCTCTCCATTATACATTTGAACAACTTTGAAATAGTATAAATAGATCTACAGCATTGTAAAAGATGAAGATTTTCAGTCTGGTTCTGTTCTTATTTACAGAAGATGACTTTAAGAAGCACAGGGGGAGAAATGCAAGATTATTAGTTTCATCTTAATATCAAAGAACCCTTTAACTCAGTATTGCACATATACTTTAAATGTTACCAGAGTATAGTGACAAGAATCTAGGTAAATCTCATTTTATGAACAACACACCCACTCACTCACAACTTTGCCTCAAACAATACAACCCTTTTATACTAAACCCCCACAAACCCTGAAATACACACCTATAGAGTATTATACTGAACAGATCCTAGTTTTTAAAATATGTGCTTGCTTCATAAAATATTTGTTCTAGTATTTTTTACAGCCACTTTTTGCTATATCATATCTCTTCTGGTAAGAGCATATAGGTTCTGCCCCTCACCCCTTTCCCAGTTTTATGCCTGACTCAGTGGAACAAAGCAGAGATGCTAATGAGCTTTTTGTTTTTTGCAAGCAGGCCTTTGGACTACTGTATGGGAGTGGATTCACTGGTATCTCAGTTGAGGTATACTCTCTTCCTGGGATTAAACTGCTTCTCTTATCGCCTCTAATAATCTAACCTGTTTTTCCTTCAGTCCTGGAATGCAGAAAAAGTGGCAAATACATGAAACAATCTTAAAGGGTAGCTAATCTTTATATAATGAGTTAAAATGTCAAATCCATTTTGTAGGGAAAAAGTGAAAAATTTAAAAGTATGTTACACATATGGTGCAATTTTGAGAATATTCCCATTGTAAATTATCTTGCTTAACATTGAAACTATTGCTTTTTTTTTTGCATTTATGGATGATAACATATTTGACAGACGTCACTATTGTTTACCCTGGTTGAAGGCAGAACATTAAAAGGTGCAGCTGAATACAAGTGTAGATTTCACAAAATAAAGCTTTACCCAAACAGACCACTGCTTAAGCAAATGCTGAAAGCAGTGACAGTTTTGACTTTAAAAGGCCAAATCCATCAAACCTACATGGGGACCATTATCACCCTCAAATCAATGGCTTTACAGCGACAACTACCCCCCCCACAGTGCAGCCGTTTGGATCATGGATAACCCTAGCCAGGAAACAGACCTAGGTGTGTCCCAGTGATATCTGTGTGTATTGGAGAGAAGCCTTGTTTAAATGCATGAGATGAACTCTCTTTTGTTTCTTCAAGTATGTCACTGACATCTCATGGTATTTTACACATCCAAGTTTTAGCGGGCTGGAAAAGCGTCGCCTTTCAGTTTGTGACGATACAACAACTTTGTCTGTGTTCCCGCCCTCCTTCCCTCAGCGTGTTTAAGATGCCACACTGTGTTTGATGTGCGTTCAAACTACAGTTTTGTGTGAGGAAGGATGACAGCGTTGTTTGGGCCTGAAAATTAGGCAAATGGAGAAACAAATAATGGAAATGATATGTATAAAACATATTATGGCAGTGGATGCATATGGGAAAGCGATATAAATCTAGTTGTTGCAATATATTGCCTTTTCAAACTGGCCTGTTTACACATACAGGGATTTTACTCAAGACTGAATAATCAAATCAGATCATCAAAAAATGTGTCAATAACAATCAGTTTACAATTTGTGGAAAGCTTGGAGACACCTATATTGACACCACATAGTCTATTTCAGGAAAACAACTTGTCAGACACACATCTTTTTCCTGGCAGTCAGAAATCAAATCAAGCTAACGACTGAGTCACACAAAAGGGCTTCAGGTGCTAACAATGCTATCCACCCCAGTCAAATGGAGGGGGCATTGACAGCAACCAGGGAGCAGGCTATTGACACCCCAGAGCCATTTTCCTTGTTAAGAGTCATCCACAACAGGCAAACACAACAGGCAAACAAAGGCCCGCCATCAAGAGAAGGCTATTGCCAAGATAGAGAAAGAATGGTGGTCATCGAGCTTTTTACAATTCAAAGCCCCAGGCTGCATTTTTGGGTCACAGTGGGTGAGAAAGAAGCATTGCAGCAGCCAAAGCAATGGAGTGACACTGCAACAGTTTAACATAACTAATTAGGGAGGGGAGGTTAGGTTTTGTTTGCTCACCATTTGGAAGAAACCAAATGTGACTGGAAGACAGGCAAACAACTGTGTTGGATGTCAAGGTTGACTTTATGGTTCTGGAGTGAAATCCTACATGAATAACTCAAAAACCAAGAGGCCTCATTTCAAACCTTTTTGTGTTTTGGGAACTCGGTTCAAATGAGACAGGAGTCTGTGAATATGTGTAATCCATACAATGTGTCCCCTTAATGCAAAACAGGGCAGGGCTCACTGTGGTCTCATAGTGTGAATGCCTTTCCATTGTGTGTATACAGTATACTACAGTACCTTAAACTGGAAATTAACCACTGTTGCCCTCTACAGGTCAGAAATTAATCTTTTCAAGACGGGAGTTTCCAGGCTGAGAAAGGGGGGTGGGCCAGGTCCTGAATGCTGCAAAACAATCACTCAGTATTGTAGAAGTGATGGGCAGTTCTAGTTAAGCTTCCAGGCATGTGCATATCAAAATGTTAAACCTGTAATACACACGGCGCTGTGGCTCCAGTCCACTCCATCTATTTTCACAGTAAGCACATTTACTGTTGAGCTCCCTGCTGCAGACATTTTAATACATGAGATGAATTTGAAAACAGTGAATTCATCTTTGGCTTATGCAGTCTTCCATGAAAAAAAAAAAAAGCAAGCAGCATTTAACAAAATGATGAAAACACAATGACTAATGTATGTAATGCTTTAATTAAATATTGTTTCTTTGAATAAAAAAGTGCAGGTACTTTGTATAATGTTCAATGGGGGGGGGGGGGAAGACAATAATGGTAACAAAGAACTAAAACTGATTTTGTTGAGTGATGGGAGGCAAAATAAATTGCAATACTTTTGGACAAAAGGTAAAAAACAGCAAGACACATGTCCTAATGTGTGTCCCCACGAACAATAACACCATATTATCCTGCATACTCAGCCTGCTGCATTACTTCAATAAAAGCCCTAGATTCAGTTGAGATGTACGAGTTGAAAGCTAAGTGAGGTTATTAAAAGCACTTAAAGAACCATTAAAACAGACAGATGGAGCAAAACCCCCTTACTGAAATATTCACATATCTGCAGATAGAGCACAAACATGAAAAACAAAGTTGATGGGACAAAGAGAAGCAAAAAGAGACTAAAAAGGAGTTGAAGTCTTCCCTACAAAGACAATAATATTCATCAATATTGTGGCCACTGACAGTCAGACTTAAATTAAGATCCTCATATTCGGTCATCATTTATATTGTGATGTGCTTTCATTCAAAACCATTAAGAAACTAAACTTTACAGACTCTCACCAGTGTTTAAAATGTTTGACACGGGAACATTTTGAAGGACACACACAACAATTATTTGCCAGGAACATATATACCCCGCACAGTACTAGTCATAGAATAGGCCTGAGTTAGGTACCCTATATATACCCCGCTACTCATGATACCTAGCGGTAACCACTATACTAGTATGACTAGTATAGACAGTATAGAGGCGCACGGCGAGTCCCGGACAACACCCGCGGACAGCAGAGACCCGAAACCACGACAGGCGCGGACACAGAAAACACAGGAGAGGACGAGAGACGCAAGGAGCACAGTGCACATAGCGAGGCCCGCCCTCCCCCCGGGGCGACACAGAAGACCCGAACTCGCCGCATACGACATCAAACACTACCGCCCGCCCGTCCTACGCAGACACACAGCAAGCCACACCACCACATCAGGCACACACCTATCAGACCCATACAAACACAGAAAGAAAAAAAAGCAATCACAACACCTGGGGCACCAGTCACGTGAAACCAACCGACCACCGCCTCCGAACACCATCGCACTGGAGACGGGGGGCTAGGGGTTAACTAGCACCATCATGAAAATCAAACACTGGCCCTGGAAAACAGACAAATGAACGGAGGTAAAATTAAGATTGAACTGATCAAAGAAGAGAATAACGTATGATGTATTATCAAAAAGCATAAGAGTAAAACGTGAGAAATTAAAGACTAAAGAATAAGTATATAAACCACACAACCACACAGACAACCACAACACACAACCTGGAAACCGTTTAGGCAATCTGACGTAATTCGAATGTACACCATCTTCTAGAGTAAATATTCTTCTAATAACAGATCCGCTAAACATGGCCATTTTGATGAGCCCATAAAGGAGTAGAATAACAGTTAAGACAAATAATATACCAAGGCAGGAAAAGGTACGTGACATATAAGTGTTGGATTAGGCATGGGTGTGTTGTGATGTTGTAGTGCAGTAAATTTGTACGTGTGCGCAGTGAGGTATGTGCGACTGGTGCCCAAGGTTGCAGTTCCGCAATTCCGCTAACACACGACAACTGGAGATGACCATAGGGAGATAGACGCAGGTAGTGGAAACAGATGCATTAATCCTTGCCTGATCTGTCCCACTTAAATGATTCTTTATAGCCAAGGATAAGAGTTAAGGTTAAGAAAGTCTTCACATGATCAGATCTTTTGAGGATTAGGTAGATAAGTTGAGTAAAATATATTATCAGAAAATTAGAACAATCTTTAAAGAATCGAAGGAGTACGTAAAACTAAGGCAAATGACAACGTTCATTCCATTTGCCTATCTTCTCTCCCAAACTTTAACCTAAACTTACCAAATGTAGTCTCGAAGGTTTTTCAATGGCGAGCCTCAAAAATGATGGCACCTCTGCTTCGTAAGTCTGTCCCCCCTCTTCCTGGTCCTATAATTGCAATTCTATTTGTGTCCGTTTTATTCGCGCAAATTGACCCAAGTTCTGAATAAAAGTCAATCGAGGTCCCGCACCGTTAAGCAATTGACCAAGTCCTAGTGCCCTCCTACCTCTGAGCAAACATATACACTAGCTGCTTAACTAAATAGAAACGTGGTTAGTTGCGCTACTGCATTTAAGCTAAAAAGTCTTCCTCTGTCAAAAACTGACCCCTTCTAGGTATTTCAGCGACAACTTATCTGTCCTTGAAATCCGACCTACAACCTAGCTTCCGTCAGCGAAAACGTGACTTCACTCACCAGAAGGCGAGTCTGGGCCTCGGGACATAAAGAGTTTCAACTGCCCGCTGCGCTCTCGTGGCAGTGATTCCGCGAAACTAATGCAGTCATTGATTTAGAGCTAGCCATGACGTGCTTGCGAGCCTCTTGTCTCTGCTTCTCTGCCGAGGAGTTCGAAAGAAAAGCAGGTGGCACGAATGGCAATCGCACTCCTTCCCCTTTGCGCAATAAAGCGAAATGGATCGCCCTTTAACCAAGAGGCAAACAAGCAATCTGTTCTTTGAATTGTTCAGTACTCGAGAGTGACCCGTTCTCATTCCCTTCGTACTGCAGATGTGATGAGGGGTAATAGAAAGACAGTATAGGACAATACAAGGAGGTAAGAAGAGGGAAAAAGAGATCCACGTGATGGCAGAGAGGCCAGAAGGACGTCAATATGAAATAACAAAAAAACCTCGTACTTAGAGAGAAGTACATTTGGAAAAAACACAACTCTTCAAGAGGGTATTCAGATATGGGATAGAAAGAAGGTTTGGCAAGACAGACTTCTACAAGAGACATAAGGAATTTTGTAAGAAAATAAAAAAAAAGAGGAGGGTGATAAACAGAAAAAAGACCAGCACCAGAACACATCCGGCAAAAACAGGAAATTTGAGAAAAAACATAACAATTTCAAGTAGCAGAGGCCTGTCAAACCAGAGTGATATTACGTTAGAGAGCTCTATGGATAACACATGGATGGTGGGTCATTCAAACTTAACAATATAACAAAGAGCAACAAAGAACAGCAACAGATCATACTTGCTTTGTAGCCATTGCAACAACATTTGGCATTTACGTCCCTCCAGACTACAACAGCTATAAAGCACATACATTTAAAAAACTGCAAACATCGTATAGAGAGACACATCCCGAGACAGGGCAGAAAAGCAGGGAAGACAGGTACGGACCACACAAGATACTCATGCATATAAAGTACCATTTTAACCAGGAAGTAAGCGAGCAAAAGCCGAGCTCTTGCGTTCAGCGCAGTCAGCCACATGGAAGCCAGTGCAGTTCTTCGCAATACTCACCTATGCAAGCGACGCACCTCTAAGTTTAATCTAGCCATGGAATGCAGAAGGCTTACAAGTATAGAAACTACACCATACGTACAGCCCTCACACTCTGAAGATGAAGTTCTCGCAATGCATGGCCTAAAGGATCTACATCATGGCCCCTATTGTAATTTGCTGAAGGGAGCCCTGGCTTAGAACTAAACACCCGACGCAGGCGACAAATGCAAGGGCGGGCGCGGGGTGGGAGGAGCGGGAGGTGAAAGGAGGGGAGAGGGAAAAAAAGAGTGGGAGAAATGGTGGTGGTGGTGGGAGGAGAGAGGCCGGTTTCGGCGGCTTTCCTACCCCAGCCAGGGCACTGGGCAGCAGGGGTGGGAAGTACCTTCCGCTCAGGGGGCGACTGGGCAGCCGCAGATGGCACGGCTTGCCAGTCAGTTGACTGAGATGGTAGGAGCTCATCGAACTTGAGGCCGCTGAGGTCCTCGGAGTGAGAGCTTGCAGTAGGTCCCAGAAACCAGCCAGGTCCTGGGCCGTGGGCCGCGGGTTGGCATTCACATTCTAAAACAAGAGAGAGAGAAAAGGGATGAAAATGAATCAATGAAGGATGAGGACAGAGCACAGTTAGTTTTGCAGTGTAGACATTTAGCGTTCTGCACATGGGCTGTAGTTTTGGACAAATTATCCTTTAAGTGTTTTTGGCAAGTAAAAGAAAAAACAAAACAATTCAGTCTACTTTCAACACATCTGTATTTCCACCTGCAGAGATGGATCAGGTACATGATGAAAAACAAAACAAAAAAACAGATAATTTAATATATAATTTATTTGAGAAGAAAAAAAACTACACTTTATTTCTGAAATGGCTTCAACCTAGATGTGTCCATAATGTGAGACTGAGGGCAGAGGTCAGTGTATCTGTGGGTCCCCACCACCATCAACCATCCTAGTTTCTGTTAGTCCTACTTTAAATGTTCATATTTGTTCTGCTGATCCAGCTCAGTCGAGGCTTTGTAGAGAGGTTGTTGCCACCGCAGAAAGAGAAGCCAATATCAGTATAAAAGTGTCTCCCTGCAGAAGCTCCGGGCTGCTTGGCAGACAGTTCTGGCTGTATATTTGTATATTTCAAATAAGCTTTCATCTTATTGTATATAAACTGCCTCAAAATGTCACTGCAGAATTGTGTATTTTGCTCTTACAACTTGTGTGTGCCTGTTTATATCGTCTATGCAGACTTGCTTGTTTTATTGCTTTGCTTTAGGTGCGTGAGTGAAGGTGGTTCTGCAGCAAATTCACAGTTTATTTTTGGGGACATTTTGGTAGTGAGATGAGAGAGATGAAGGAAACGAGTAGAAAAAGGTGGGGAAAGACATGCAACAAAATTCCCCGGGCCAGACTCAAAACAGGGAAGCTGTTGTTCAAGAAGGTTGGATCCAGACCATCATGGCACCCCAACAAAGGTATTAACTGCCTTATTACAGCAGCTTATTACTGTGCTACACCTTTGCATTACATACTGTGCTCGTCATCCAGTGCTGCTTTTTTGATGTGCGCCACTAGAGGGAGCCATGTTACAGCTCAATTCTTTTGTCAACAGAACTTTAATCTTTTTCAGTAACTGAAAGAGATTCGGTGCTTCAACGCAGCCAAGTAAAACAAGCCGATGTGTCGAGCCAGAGAAATACAAAGGAACTTCAAGTTTGACAACAAAAAGAAATGTAATCATTCAGAATGCAGTTAAAAGTAGACTTAGCCCCTCACTTGTTTACAAACAGCTGCCTCTATGTTTATTGTTTGTGCAAAGCCTGCACAGATTGGCAAACAGATGTAAAGTGAATCCAGCTCTGACTTCTTTCCCTCTGTCAGCCACTGTTTGTAACGCTCCAGGCGGACTGGCTTTTGTTTGTGCAGGCTCCACTCTATTCTTCATATTTAAACAGCTGCATCCAGTGCTGCCATATCCAGACATCCAAACCAAAGTGCTATGGTGCTATCATGCTAACGACCCTGTGAAGTTCAGGAAACGATTGCTTATGATAATGTTCCTAAGTCAGTGAATGTATCAGTGTATCTCCTGCTGAGCTGTGCAAAATGTTGTTACGAGATGTCTAGTCATTGCAAAGTGACATTACAGAGAAGAAAGCTCAGTCAGTCGGGAGGCAGTATATGGTACAGTGATATCAATGCATTTAAAGCATTAACTGTTGATTTGTGTAGCTAAGGCTAAATCATTTCAGTGAAACTTCTTCTGTGCAAATGGCACAGTTACAATGATAGCATTACAGTGACTTAAAGTAGACAGTTCACATGTGATTTTGTTTGTTTCTTGCTATCCGACTCGAGCCTGATGGGCACTGACAAAGTATTACGTCTGGATTGGGTCATTTTGTTACGTACAGCTTTAGGCTTGGTTCGGTTACCTTCAAATATAACCAATTCAGAAATGCGCCTCTCTCTCTCTTCTGGATTTCTTTGTTCAGTCGAGCTTATAGTGTCACATGCTATTTATTGCTACAATTTGTATAATGCCATTTCCAGTAAAACATGTCACCCAAGAGGAATGGCTTATTGGCTTATTATAAGCTCCTTGTATTTTGTGCTTGTGGGCCACCATGCATTATTCTGTGTAGGACTAATAAACTGTGTATCATGGCTGTTCTCAGATTAGTCTGTTTTCTTTTGTGTAAAAGCCTTCATGTGCATCGAGGCATGCATATCTTGCAGAAAACAGGATAACCAAAATATAACTGAGTTTGGTACAGGTTCGGGACTTGGATGTGAGTCCCAGTTTCATGCTTGTGCAGTCCTGTAGAGTAGAGTTGTCACAGGAAGGCCATATACACACCAAGTTCTGTTCACACAGTCCCCTGAACTGCTGGAACTTCTGGGATATTAGGAGCTGGGCACTTCCTACTGCACTGCGAACCTTCCCCAGCACTGAAGAAAGAACAAAAATGGACACATTTATAACAGAGGCAAAACGTTATTCGAGCTATGGATGCCACACAAAGCAAGTCTTTTCGGCTACAGTTGGCATACACACCAAGATCTGCCTTTATCAAAAAGGTACAGCAACAGCCAGAACTACACCAGCTGATCTCCGGCTTACATACCTATAATATCTATATAACTCTGGTTAGATGCAAACCAAAAGCTTGCTGCAGGTGTCTACACATTTAGGCCTGCCTTGCAATGTACTGCCCAACAAACTCCACAGGGTGGCATGAAGAGGATTACAGTGTATTGGGCAATGTTATCCTCTTTAAAGGCATCTAGGCTTATATAGATACTCCAGCCTTCTGTCGGTTAGTGGTCACTGCGCTGTTGCTGTGTCAAAACTAGGACAAACATCTGCCCTGACAAAATTGGGACTCCGTTCTGATCATTGGATTGCAAAATTATGGCAATGTGATTATAGTGTGGTGAGACGCAGCTCTGGGGTGCAGATCCACATCAGATTTAAACTGACTGACCACTTTACTGCAGAAAGGTCACACAAACACACAAACATATGGACTCAAAGATCCACAGAGCCTTATTCATACATGGATCCAATGCTTCTGATATGAACTGAGCATCCAAAGAACTTCCTACCGTTTGTTTGTTTGTGTGTACATTGTGTATTTGTGTGTGTGCTCACTGCTGATGTTGAAGCACTAATCTAATCTGGAGGTTTAATCAGTTCCAGAGTAGATTTGTGTAATTCTGAGGATTACAGGCCTGCTTGTGTGTGGTAACCGCAGGTATTACCGCCTCATCCCCTCCATGCTGTGTATGTCTGATAAAGTGATTGTAGGGCCTGAGGCAGAACCTTACAACCAAGTTCTGTTTTAGGGTTTTGGTCCAGACGGGAACAGAACTCGGAAAGAGGCTCAAAATGACTTCAGCAACACCTTCACTGTATATTTGGCTCACTCAAAAGTTAACTGAAGAGTGAATGTAACTGGATATTATCACTGAAATAGAAACAGATCAGACCATTAAAACATATCTTCTACATATCTAACTCCATACTTCATGCTTTTTGAGTACATCGGTAATGGTACAAACAGGATTGGATTGTTAAAATGATCACCAGTGTGCAAGCTGGCCAGATTACCTTTGACACCGCCTGGTGCACTGCCTCACAGCACAACCTTGCCTGGAGTTGGAAACTTGGAGACATGGAAGCAATTTAACAAAAAGACGTGGGGTTGTAGGAGTGTCCTGGTAGCCTTACCCTCCTCTGAGAGCTGGTTGTCTTTGGTCTCCTGCTCCATCTGCTGGCACCAGCCTTCCATGCGTCCTGTTTCAGCCTGCAGCAGCTTCATGAACCAGTGGCCATCTCTCCGACACAGCGTCCCGCCTCCTCCGCTCTGGGGAACACTGCTGTTACTCCCATTCCCGCTCTCCAGCCAAGGGTCTGGAGGTGGTAACGACGAGGGGTCCAGCGCTGGGTCCAGACTTTCTGAGAAGGAGGAAGAGCTACTTCGTGTGGTGGAGCGGTTGAGGATCTGCCTGGGTGGCGGAGGTGAAGAGATGTCTCCAGTAGTGTCTCCATTGTCTAAAGAGTCCTGTCCAGGAGGGGAACTCATGGATTGGCTGGCACTATTGACCATGACTTTCTTCTCAGAAGAGTGTTTGACATTATTGATATGGGAGATGAAAGGGATGTCCTGTGTGTCTGAGTCTGTTTCTTGTTTTGAGGCCATGCTACTGGAGCGACTGTGTCTGAAACAAACAGGGTGAGACTAATTGTTACAGATTTTCATAGAACAATTCTCATTTTCCCCAAATTAGTTTCCTTTGTTCATGTGCAGTGGACAAAGAAAACAATAAATTATTCAAGAATGACATCTCTATTCCTGGAACAAACATGCAATGCTTAGTTTTAACACTGAGTCACCTCTGCCGGTTGATATAGATATGTCATCGCATACATATTAATAGAGCAAGCAGACTGGCATCAGTTGATCTTTTATCTCTGGAAATCTAGCTTCGTGGATTTACATGGCAAGTGGAAGAACAGGTCGAACATGAATGTTATTTGACTCAAAATTATTTCCATTTGCTGTTATTACAGGGAACTCGCTTACAAGTGGCAATTCAGTCAGATAATTTAATATTATGAATGCTTGATTGAAGAATCTAAACCAATATTAGAGGAGGACAAGCACAGCAAAAGACTAGAATAGTACAGGGTAATCCATATTGTGATGATAAACACAGCTGAAAGACTGTCACATAGCACAAATGTGTGTACATCATTAAAAATATAGGAAGAACAACATACAAATAAACAGAGGAACACTTGTTCTACTGGCTGTGTTGATAAAATATCAGACTCAGTACAGCTGCTACATACAAAACAGTAAAGGCAGCATGCAAAAGTCCAAAAATATAGGAGGAAGGCATGAGGCGGCCCAGAACTTCCTGGCATTGAAAGCGTAGAAGCACAGAATGCAAACTACGCTGCAATAACCTAGAAATGGGTCTCAAATATACAGTAAGGGGAGACAAGTAGTAAATGCTCATGTAAGGAATCTACTTTCAGCACATAAAGATAGTTTGCAGACATTCACATTGCTTTCACATCCACATAGTTCCTGCAAAGGGAAAGAAAGTCAGAGCAGTGTGTGTGGCTATAATGTAAATTCCTCACGTTGTTACAAGGACAGGAAGAGGACTTACTGCCACCCGTCCTCCACCTGTACTCCGATTGACTGAAATTTGGCCAATGGCGGGGTCTCCTCTCGTGGAACTTCCTGAATACAGTCAACCTTAGAACAAACAGATGTGGAAAACAAACGTCAGTGACCAAGTCAAAATACTAACAGTGACAACAATCTTAGCAGGAATGATTTCATCAACCTTTATCGTCCCTAATCAACTTCACTGAGAGGTTTTAATTTCCCAAGTGACAAACCAAATCATGGAAGAAAAACTGAAAAATACAGAGAAAATCTGCACAATTTTGTTCTTGGTTTTCAATTAAGTGTCCATTAATCCCTGACTGAGACTGTTAATGTGCAAGGTCTGGAAAATGGAGAAAAGGAATGTTATTTCAGCACATACAGAACAGAAAGTTATGGTTTATGGGGGAACACAACTATGTATTTGCTGCCTTCTATACTGCAGCACATTGCCAGCTCTAATGATAGAGGGTCGTTCATCCAAATGAGACCTTTAGCTTGCAGGCACATTTCTGGGCTTGAGGTGACACACTCAGACCTAACCATACACCACTGGGGATATTACTGTTGAAAGGGATCTTTTTCCTGGAGAAAACACAAGGACTAGAGACTGTGTTTGTGTGGGTTAATGTGTGGCACTGATTCAACCAGAACAGCTGTTTAGTGCAACAGTCCCATTGCATACCTGTATGCCAATGGAGGAGAGTTTCCGTCTGGGTACTGGTACCACTAGGGGCTCCTCTGCCACTAGATTCCCTTTATTTAATGCTGATTTCAGGGATTCATGCTGGACAACTGAGTCACTTGTCTCAGTGGAAGCATTGGAGGTGGTGGGGGCAATTGGCTCTCTTGGGATGGCGATGGGAGTGGGAATGATGTGTGGAGGGCGGGGAATACCCCGGGCCAGGCTGTTGGCACGGGTGCTGTCGAGGCTGTCTGATGAGTTGCTATGAGCGTGGCTTGACTGGCTGTTGACCTCTGACCTCCGGTCCTGCTGGTCCAGGTAGTTGTCCTGGGCTGACTCTGTGCTGCTCTGTACTGTCACAGATATGTAGGGCTTGGAGGTTGTACGGGGCGGTACGGGCGGAGGAGCAGCCTTCTTACAGGTGGTTATACATGTAGACACTGAAAGAGACGAGAGAGGACGGAGACACAAGAAGAAAAGACACAAGAAAGAAAGAAAAGAAAAGAAAAAAGGATTACAAAAACATGTTTTAGCACATTTTTGAGGCAGAATCATGTCGAGGCAGAGTGACCTCAAAAGAAGAATGAAGCAATTACAGAAAATATTAATAGTACATAAAACAGCTTGAAGCATTGCCCTAACTGCTTATCAGCATCCGTCTAAGAGTCGACTACGTTTTCTCAGCAGGTCACGAGAAGAAGTCTTCGTAGTGTACATGAACACACAGGGACATTGTTGCATCTGGAATACCAGCAGGATCAGGGCGGCATCCCGTAAAGCAGAAAATCAAATCAGGTAGGACAGTGAACAAACATACCGTTACACACAGGTGACTAAATGAAATCACACACACACACAC